GGGGGGTTTTAAAAGGCCCGGGGGGGGGTTGGGAAGGTTTTTTTTTAAAAAAAAGGGGGCCCCAGAAAAAATGGGTTTTTTGGGGGAAATTTGAGTTTTTTTTTTCCCCCTTTAAAAAAAAAAAAGGGTTAAGACCCTATTGGCCTTTTTTAAAAACCATTTAAAAAATTGGGCCCCCCCCCCTTTTCCGGGGGTTTTTGGGGGAAAACCCGTTCCCAAGGAAAATTTTTGGGGAGTTTCCGGGGGGGGGAAAAACCCCTTAAGCCCCCCTTGGCCCCCCCCGTTTTTTTTAACCCCCCCCCCCCCAATCGGTTTTTGGAAAAAAGGTCCCCTTTTTTTAAAGGGCAGGGGGTAAAATTTTTTTCCCCTTGGGAAAAAAAAAAAGGGGGGAACCCCCCCCCCCCCCCCCCCCCCCCTGCCCTAACCCCGCTGATTTCCGCGACGCGACCACACACGCACCCCCACCAGGCTGGAGGGGCTCCGCGACACGCCGTCGGACAAGACCAAGCTCGAGATCCTGGAAGCGATGTGGGCGAGGCAGACCCACCCTGCGGCCGCCGCCGCCGCCCGCGGCCGTCGCCGCCAGAGCAGCCGCCGCCTGGACCTCCGGACGGTGATAGAGGCCGGCTCTTCGGCGGAGCTCGGTACAAGCGGCGGCAGCGGGTCTACCAGCAGCGGGATGGGGATCAAGGGAAGGGATAGCGGCGGTGGGTTTTGCAGCGATGAAGACAGTCTTCTGGCGGGGTGGCCGGGGAGCGGGCCGGAAGACACCGGCGGCGGCGGTGGTGGCGGTGGGCTGCGCGTGCGGACGGGTAGCGGTTGCTCCGCGGCGTCGTCGTCGGCGCTGTCGATGCCGTCGCTGCTGGACCAGTCGGCGATGGCCCTGGTGGGCAACGTGCGCCTGGCGGAAGAGGAGGAGGATGAAGAGGCTGTCAGCCCGAGCTGGGATGGCTCTCTCCAAGAAGTGGACGATGCGGCCGCCGGCGGCAAGCCCGTGGTTGGGCTGCTTGTGGAGGAGGAGGGAGGCGGGCAAAGATCAAGCGAGACGCACTACCCCCCGTCCCCCGCGACTGCACCGGCGTGGGAGGACTTGAGCCAGCTCGAGGAACAGCAGACGGCAGCAGCAGCAGAGGCGGCGGCGAGCACGATGATGACCGCCGAGGCCGCGGCGGTGCTAGCGGCCGCGGCGCGGAGCTTTGATACCCCGTCAAGCTCCATCGAAGGCCGATATGTGGAGGAAGCGGCAGCGACGGCCGGGGGCGGTGGCGAGCGCGAGTTCCCCGCGCGCATGCTGGTGTTCTCCGAGAAGGAGACCGCGGAGCAGGGGCGGGGCCACCAGTCGGGCGGGAGCGGGGCCGACGACGGAACAACGGCGGCGGCGGCGGCGGCGGCTGCGAGTGGCTCGGCAACTGCTGCCGTGGGGAACGGCGACGGCGGCGACGAGAGCGGCGTGCTGATGATGTCCAGGACGGAGGAGGAAGACGCGTCGGCGTTGCAGCCGGCGGCGGCTGTGTCAGCGGCGGCGGCGAACAGCGGCGGTGGCTCGCCCGGCATGGTATCGTTCGACGAGGACGAGGCGGCGGGGGACCCGTGCAGAGAGAGCTTCGTTCTCGGACTGGTGAGGGAGGTAAGGGCGGAAGAGAGCGCTGCCGCTTCTGCAGCTGACGTCCGCGCGGGATCACCGCCGGAAGACGGGGCCCTGGCCTCGTTGGACGGCAACGAGGGCTCCCTGGCGGTAGAAGACGAGGACGCCGCCGCCGCCGCCGCCGCCGCCGGCAAGGAAAAGGAGGAGGGGAAGCCGCGGAAAGGAAGACGTCGTCGGGACGACCCTCCCCGCGAAGAAGACGGGGGGTCCCGCCGGGGACGCGTTGGTCGCTGCTGCTGGCGCTGCTGCGGTACCTGCAACCCCGGTTACTCCGGATAGCTGCTTGTAAGCGGGCCGGCGGTACCGGCGGCCGATTTTTGTTGGCCGGTCTTGGTCGGATTTTTGGTAGCGAGTTGGCCAAGCAAGCAGTCCACGAGAACAACGAAGAAGCACGCTAGATATCTGGCCGCGATATGACATCCGCGACACCGCTTTTACTATAGGATGAGGCAGTAGAGTGTGTTGGCCGCACATTTGCTGCTGACACAAGCCTGAACGGGACGGGGCGGTGGCGGACACGGCCTGGTCGCTCGCTGTTGGGTGTTGGCGACGAAAGTGCCGGGTGGAACAATTCTCCTGTCCTTATCGGTTGGCCCGGTCGACTTGCGTAGAGACTAAAATACGGGGGGGGGGGGGGTGTACTCATGTAAACGCATGCCGTAGTCGTTAGACCATTGATCTCGCATCCCTACAATGCCGGGACGGAGCGATATGTATGCCGGGTTTTCGCCGGCCCAGGCTACGGCTGGGGGGGGGGATGGGGCCACAGGGAGGGAGTGAAAAATGTGGGGTAGTTTTTTTACCATTTGCGTTGGGGCATAGCATGTTCGTGGGGGATTTTTATGCACACGTGGCATGGGTTCTGTTTGTTGGTCGGCTGGAAGGTCAACACATTGCCGTCCTAGCTGGGGTTGCTCGGCTGGACTCATGTTTTTTGCCGTGTGCATTTTAGCGTAGGGCGCTTTTTTGTCGCGCCGTTTCCGGCGTTTGGAAGGGAATGCCGCTCAGTTATTTGTTGTTGTCTTGTTTCCAGCTGCTACTACAGCAGCAAAGGTTTTATTTGACGGGAGATGAATAGTTAGTGCTGTTTTGTTCTGTTAGTTGTTGTGATCCTCTTCTTCTTAATAGGAGGTTGCGAAGGGAGGTGGAAAGAAGACGGGGTGGAGGGGTGGGGGGGGGAGGCGAAGGCGCTTCGTTCGGTCCTTCTTGTCGACGGGTGCAATGTGCTCAAGAACGCCACATCACCAGCACCAGCCCTGCTCGCTCTGTTTTGTACACTTGATCCATGTATTAGCGTTAGACATTTAGACTGATGGTAGAGTGCTAGAATATATCATCAGGCGTCCGTGGTTACTGTAGCTCCCCCTTGGGGAGGACCGCCGGGTGTCTTGTTGTCGATACGCTTTTTGTCCGTTTTTCGGGGAAAGAACACGTTTTTTTTTCCGTTTTTCGGGGGATAGGCGGACGCAACCAAAGCCCCGCGTCGCCCGCAGGCGCTGATTGATGATGCGCACTCGTGTGGCGTTCAGTTGGTCCTTGAGAAAGAAATCATACATTTTTTCCATGTCGTGGGCACGGGCTTGGCTGGGGTGTGGGGGCGCTTTCGTCTTTTTGGAGCCCCCCAACGACGACGTCGTAGCAAGCGGAGTGAAGCCAGGAGGGAGAGGGCGCTCCTTGGTGCTGCTTTTTTCATCCTTGAGATTTTGGGGGGTGGGGGGGGGGGGTCGAAGCATGATGTGGTTTGTATTTCAGTAGGAAAGGCCATGTCGTTAGTGGTTCTCACGGGGGTCCTCCCCCCCCTCCCCCGTGAGTGTAGAGTTATTGTTGTTGGGTGTAAGTGGTGTAATATAGCGTTCGCATCGATTGTTTGTCGCGTGTGGGACGTCTACCGAGATATGAGTGGTGAAACAAGGAAACAGGGCCGCGTGTGTACATGCGGGGGTGTTGGGAGTCCGTATACGATGGGTTGCCGTTGATGCCCGAAGAAGGTTCTACGGCAACCAGTTGCTGGCATGAAATATACCTCTATATGTAACCACAAGCACCAAAAAAAGCCAACACAAATGATTGTCACCACGTGACTAACGAAAACAACACCATGGTTTTCGATGTAACCTCGTCATTTAGTCGCGGCAACGTCTTGACGCACATTCATTCGCCTGTACGAATAATTGTGTGGCGTTCTTTGTGTTCTGTTGTGCGGCGCTAGGAAAGCGACACCCTTACTTTTGACCAGACGCCCCAAGCGCACAGCAGCGAGCGGTGATTTCTTCCGAGCTGGTGTACTGTATGTACCATGCGCCCCCCCCCCCCCTTCCTAAACGAAACAGCGACATAAACATGCACCGCCCAAATCAACCAATACCAACACACGCAAGGTGGCACCGCCTGCACACAATTCCCGGTTTGTGTAACCCTTAACGCACAAAACATGCTAACTTGATTCCTAACCTACCACGCTGTACACTTGTAGCCTTGACGCGGCTGCAATCTTCTTCTTCACTTCAAGTCCGGGAGCAGTGAGTACTGCCTGCCCCAGTACAATCAATCGTGTGTAGCGGGAGCACACCGCCGTGCAACGCTTTGTTGCCGTCGCTCCTTCTCCTTGGGAGCGGTCCATCGATCCAGCCTGCATAACGAATTCTACGAGACACCCCTTTGAATGTTCTTGTGCTACATCCCTTCTCTCTCTCTTTAGAAAAAACCTCGCCCCAAAAGGACATACATGAACAAACGCAATGTTGCCCTTATTACTACGCCTCTCTCTTGCCGTCTCCCAGGTGCTGAGTGGGCGATCGAAACATGCATGTCGCTTCGTGACACGCCCACGTTTCCCGCCCCCGAAAATGTACGGAAAGTCTTGGAAAGTCTTGAACAAGACTTTCCTCCAAGACAGACACGCCGTTAGGTGTGAGTCGATTTAGTTTCTCTCTCCCCCGGCTGTTCGCCGAGAAACACAGCAGCTATTTAATCGCTGACTGCAAGCGTCTACCGTGGGGTGGACGAAAAAAAAACAAACTCAAAACTTACAGGCTAACTGCTGTCCGTCCACGTGTGTATGCATCACCCGAGGCACCTGTTAACCCAGGCCTACGCTGAAACTACGGCGCACCGTGGATGGATGGAACGAGGACGCTGCACAAGGGCGCCTTCCGCGATGACGACCAGCGCGTGAAGGTCGACCAAACCTGGCGCCACGCAGGGTTGGCACCCCAACACGTTTTCTTCGGTACAAGGGCTTGCTTGCCAGGAAGCAAGCAGCAGAGCAGTGTGTGTTTCCCAACTGAACGCACCCCACTACGCTCATGTGATGTGATAAATGTCTTAATTTTTGAGCCGGGACGGATGTATACCCTTGGTTGTTTTCTTGTCTTGTCAACTTGTCAAGCCTTGCCGAACACGAGCGCCAGCAACGCCATCCGCACGTACATCCCGTTCTGTTGCACGCGCAGAGAGACATTGGTGGCACACGCAAGAACACGCGTTATATTTTTTTCTTTCTTCATCACCAGGACAGACAAGGGCGGGGACTGGTGGCACATAAATCTTATTCAGGAAAACATGACGTTCAAGTATTTCATTCACCACTAAAAGCAAATATCAACATGATAATTTATCTCTTTTGACCATCCTTGCCCACCTCCTGCAGCCAAGCAGCGTCCGTTAGTCGTCCATGTACAGCAAGCGTCATCTTGCGCACCAACCACGGGTGGGTTTACGGTGGGCTTTCCAAATAAGGCGGTGGCCGTGTACAAGGCCGATGAAATCCGCGTGATGGATTGTTCCACGTTGTCTCGCACCGTGGTGAGTAGTGCCGGGTGCCCGGTACACAACGCCGGACACATCGCCTTGGCACTACTACATACTATGTTTGGCCATAAACTAGGACCACTACAATAACGCTGCACATGTATATTTTCGTAACACACGGCGTGGAGCATGTTACACCCCTCACTCAGCAGCAACAACGACAACACTGACACCACCAGCAACAACAACGTACCCCCATTCGCCTAAAATGGTTTCTACAATCACGGCGTCAAGCACATACCCCTTGCCAAGTAACAACAACAACAGCAACAGCGCACCTCCATTTGCTTAAAATAGGCGGCTCTGGGGTCCAGGTCGCAATCTTCCACGATCTCTCCGACTCTCGGCAGGGGGTGCATCAGCACCGAGGACGGTTTCACCTTGCTCAAAACCTCCGGAGTGATCTTGTAGGACCCGTTGACGCGGTCGAATTCCTGCACAGGGGGTATCATGGTGTGTGAAAAAAAATGGAAATCCGGTGGGGGGGGCGGGGGCGGGGGGGCAGGGTTCGGTTTGTGGAGCAGAGGGCTCGGGCGGGGATTAACCACACGTAAGGGGATAGCAGAGCATGTGTGGACTACGGTAAGGTGTGCCCTATCAGACTCGTGCGAGCGCTCTGATCTCTGCCGCCGCGAGGCCTTGTGCTACATAGTCGCGCGATCCAGACGTCCACTGTATGTTACCCGACAATTTATCTCTGTGTGTGTCGGTCTGTTTCTCTCTACATGCATGCTTCTATCTCTCTGTCTTGTCCTTCTCTCTCACACACATTATATGCATATGTACACACTACACACACTTGTCGGTCGAGATATCGGCGGAAAGACAGCATTTATTTATTGTCCCGCATCAAGACTCACGCGTTCCCATTGGTCAGCCGGCTAGCGCGGTCGTTTCGAATTGAAGAGAGAGAGACACACACAAACTCATATCCCGCTACAAGACTGGCGTATTTTCACTGGTCAGCCGGCTAGCACGGTCGAGAGAGAGAGAGAGATATAACATATATATACTTCATATATATATATACAAGGGCGCTTCGCGGCGTACCGCTTCGCGGTCGCCGCTACGCTCGTAGGTTCAATGGCGATGGCAAGTGTGTGCGGGTGGAGTTTTGAAATGAGAGATACGAAGAAAAAATGCTGCGAAGAGGGAAACATTTGTTTGTTTGTTCGAAAAGCAGAGACGCACAATGACTATTGTATTCATATGTTACGCGACGGCCGGAGGACAGAGTATTTAATTGCTCGGAGTAAGAAGTTCGTTTTTCAGAAACAAAGGCTCACTTTCCACGAAAAAAGTAGGAAAATAGGGTTACGTAACATAATAGCTCCACCTGGCCCACACCATAGAAGAAACGTCTCAATAAGAAAACAGAGGAGCGACCCCTAAAATGCTCTACTATTCATAAGACACGAGAGGGGTTACTGGGGGTGGAGTGTGTCGAATAATAAAACTGAGAAAGAAACATCAAGCAACCAGCTTTTCTCTCTTTTCCCCCCCTCTCTCCCATGTGCTACCCACGCCCTCAGCGAGACGTTGTAGCTGAATAAAGTTCGCTACTTCTCGGGTGTGCGGTCTTCGTATGTGATCTGATGTACAGCCGTCGGTGATGAGAATCGGGGTTGAGTACGGGAGGCCAGGAAAAGCAGCGCAAATCATCACGTATGCATACGGTAGTTTTTTTAGTTTTTGCAGCACGTTGTGTGTAAGCAAAAGCAGAGAAAAGCAGTCAACTTTTCTGCCGATTTATGAAAATATGGAAACCCACAGCAGCAGTAGTATTTCTATATGTTCTGCTAGAGGGTTTTGGGAGTCAGATGGCTGTAGAAGTTGGTGTGTTGGTGTGTAGAGTGTTGGTGGGATGCGGAGCATGTCCCGGTAGCCGCTCTACAATAAAGTGCGGTAGGTATCCAGAAGATATTTCCGGGAAAAAAAAAAAGTATTTCCATGAAACGGAGGAACAAACAACGTATTTATTTCATTTTTTTTTTTTCTCGGGCGGGTGTAGTTTTGCAGACAGCTGTGCGCACGACACTGGCCGCTAACCCCCCCGCCTTTCGCCTGGATCAAAAGGGAGACGCACTACAGCAGTAGAGTACTTTGTCTCGTCTCATGCGGAGACTTGTTGGCTTGGTTGTCGTGTGTGGCAGGGTGTGTGGTGTGTAGCCAGCGCACACACACAATCCACGTCAGCCGCTTGCCGAATGTATGTATGAGTGGCCTGCACTGTCAAGAAATCGGGGTGTGATTGGTGGATCCATGGTAGATGTCGGAGACGCGACTTTCTGCCCTCGCTAGCGCTGCACGCAGTCCGCCCCGAGAGCGCGCGGCACGCCGGGAGGGCCCTCGCAACACAGGGCTATCGGTAGGTGCAAGTCTCGCTTCGAGGGGAGGTCAACGCGCGGAGAAATTCGCAAAAAAGGGGCTCTAGGCTCACGAGAGCATCATAATTGCCTCTCCTGCGATCTTGTGAGCCCTCAGCCCGGAGGAAATCCGTCTATAGGTCTATATATATATAGAGAGAGAGAGAGACACGCACAAGTACAACTCACCTCTCGAGACGCGAACCTCTCCTTTTGTACCCTGGTAACGTACAGCACGTCAGCCTCCTCCAGCACCACGCCAATATCCTCCACCTCCGTCTGCACCGACTCTCCCGCCGATTCCACCTTCACAAAAAAAGGTTGGAAAAAAAACACGCATCAGGAAAGTTCAAACACGTTACGAGAATCATGTGATATCTACGATTGATAACACGCAAGGGATAACATCTGTCTCTCGTCAGACCGTGAAAAAACACGCCACACACACGGCTGTGGGGGTATCAGGACGTTTCTAGACCCGTTGGAAAAACACGCATCAGCATCAGGAAATTTCAACATCATTTTGTAAACAGTAAGGAGCAAGTAACGTCTGGCGTCTACTATTGAAAATACGCAGGCACCTCAATCGTCGCCTACATACTATCTAGAGATACGGCCACCACCGATCAGGCTCTGAAGCTCAACACTCTGTGTTGCGTACGTACGTTCCCACCTTTTTTCATTTTTTCTGCACGTAAGACATCACACCCTCTGTGGACCGACTTTCAAGGATCAGATACTCCACGACGAAGAGGACGTTCAAATCAAGCGATACGCTAACGGAAAGCTATCGACGAGACGGCGCCATTTTCGGCACCGCCTCTCTCTTTCTGCTTCGAAAATGGTCCAGGGTGTTTGGGGCGTCCGTCAGGGTACTGATCTACGGGGCCTCCATGGATTACATACAATGGGTATGATTGGGCATGATGCGCGGGGCCCCTTTTTACATACAATGGGTATGATGGGCATGATGCACGGGGCCTCCTTTGCCTCCCCCATATTTATCTGCCACACTCTAATAAGCAATAGTCTAAAGGTCTCGAGCCCAACCTTCATTCTCTTAAGACCTCTGACGAAGCTGCCGCACCCAAACACAGGGGGGGTGATATCTTACGTCATCCTGGTGTACGTCCTGTCTGGGCTTGTATGATGTGTGTGTTGAGCTCGAACTAGGTCGATCGCTCACCTCATCCTGGATGTACCGCGGCATCTGCAACGACGCGGGTGACACGTACCGCAGCACGCAGCCGAACCTGGCCAGCAGCTTCGCCAGGGAGTGCACCGTCCTGCCGTGCTTGAGGTCTCCAATCAGTGCCACCACCTGCACACGCCATGTTCAGAGGTGCAGAAAAACGGACAAGGGGGTTTTAACATAACTTGTGTACCGGGAACTAACAGCAGTGAGACCTCGAGTGGAGCGGCGGGGTGTTTTCACACACACGCAAAAACAACAAAAACAACGTCGTGACCTCCTTTTGTTTTGTTCCGTCCCATGAGAACAGAGTCTGCTGGGCGAAACAGGCAGGGCACACCGCTGAAAAGAATCAAAAACGTGGAAATACAGGTGGCTTTCTCTGACGCTATGAATTCATTGCTAATCCATCTTAGATAGAGATGGATGGATTCGTTGGGTATATTCAGAAAATAAAAAAAAACGCACGACCCAAAAACGCTGGCGTAACAAAAAAAAAGCATTACCATGGTGCCACACACCAGTGAAAACCGCGCCGCACCTTCCCTCGAAGACCAGACAACCCCGCCTCCCCCCCAAGCTCCGCCGCGATGGTGTACAAATCCAGCAGAGCCTGTGTCGGGTGCTCTCCGACCCCGTCCCCCGCGTTGAGCACCGGCCTCCTCGCTACTCCGACGGCGGCGCGCGCCGCCCCCTTTGCGGGATGTCTCAGGGCGACCGCGTCGCAGTAGGAGAGAAGGCTCATGACGGTATCCTGCTCGATGGGAAAAGGGGGCCAAAACAAATGATGAGGGAGGGAGTGAAGCGTCAATAGACGGGGAAAGGAAGTGTGAAGAAAGAACGGGCAATAGGCGATGGGTGCGGGCAGACCCGTGGGCAAGAATGGAAGAACAAAGAGCACGCCGTCCTCTCGAATCGTGGTCTCAATTTGTCTCTTTCTCTGCCTCTCTCCGTCTGTCTGTGTGTATTATCTCTCTCCATATATCTTGACTTTAGGGCTAACTCGGAACGTTAAACGTAGCGGAGAGCGTGCACACAAGTCAAGCGGCCGGCCCATCGATCTGTCGGTATCGTTTTCGGCACAAAGGAAAAAAAACTCGGCTCGGCGTTTGTCTCTCTCCATCCACTAAAATTCACTGCTGCTGTGGATTAGATAATTGTCTCGAAAATATCGTTCTCGCTGACGAGGATACGGGTACGACGGATGCGAATAACGCCTCCTTGTCATTGTTGCATGTTGCCTTGTCAGGTTTAGTCTCATTCTATGCATATGTTTGTTTTACGTGTGCTTAACTCCACCAAAGCACTTAAACGAAGAAAGGACCCCACCATTAAAAGAAGAAGTGCTTCGTGCTTCTTAGTGCTTCTGCGTGTTTCTTGACGGAAAGAAGCCGAGGCTTCCTTCCTCCCAAGTTCCCAAAGGCTATGACGGTTGTGGCAAGACACGAAACGAGCACCCCAGAGGCCTGCCTATCTTCCGTTCATGGGTCCAGAGTGAAAAGCACGAAAGGTGTTACCGTGTACCTCCTTTGTGTTGGCCTACCGCGCTGCATTAATACTGTCTCGGATCTCTCGCTTGAAGTGAAGAAATTCGAGGGGGGGGGTTGGTCGCGACATCACTCATTGTTGCGCCCTGGTCAAGCCTTCTAAAGCCTGAACGCAGCAGCAGCAGTAGCAGTAGTCTCTGCTTCCCGCCCCGCCTTTCTGCCGCGGTCCACGGCGACTGCTGTGCTGCAAGGAGGTCATAAAAAAAAAAAATAGAAAACAGAAGATGATATACGAAGGAGGAAAGAGCCCCTGCTAAATACCACATCCCAACAAAAAAACACGAGATCACGTCTACAAACTGTCCACCACAGGATACTGCTTCGAGCTATACTATGTACATTCAGAGAATATCCCGCTGCGCACCTCCAGACTCTCGCCCTTCTTAATGCTCGATGATGCCGGGTCGACCGACACAAACGTTCCCCCGAGGCGGGCCACGGCCGCTTGAAAGGAGCACGCCGTTCTCGTGGAGGTCTCGTAGAACAGGGTGCCAAGAACGCGGCCCCTCAGAGGAGGATTGCGGCTGGAGATGATGCAACGAGGCGTTTGCGACGAAAAGGAGTATGAGTGAAGGGAAGGGAGGGGGGGGGGGCGGAGGGAGGGGAGACAGACAGACAGACAGACAGGCAGATACAGAGACATGCATAGGCACACACAGAGAGAAGGGTAGGAAATAGAGAGACAGACAGAATCAGAGACAGGCGGAGAGGGGAGGGAGGGAGGGAGGAATCAGACGCGCATCCCATAGTACCCCACAATACTTGATCGAGGAGGTGGTCATGCGTGCAGCGCAGGGGGGGGGGCTTACGACACATCACCGTCGTCAACAAGCACGCAGCGACGAGGGGGTACACACCAACAAACAGCATCACAGTGGTCGTTACGTAGATACCAGCGCCAAAGTACGAGCCGCGGCAGACCCTGACGTCGGAGGCTAGCCGACAAGGCAAGCGGCGAGGGGGGTTCGTGCCGTCCGGGGCGAGACACGTCGCCCACGACAAACACCGACAACCTTTCAACCAAACACCGACAACCTTTCAACCAAACACCGACAACCTTTCAACCAAACACCGACAACCTTTCAACCAAACACCGACAACCTTTCAACCAAACACCGACAACCTTTCAACCAAACACCGACAACCTTTCAACCAAACACCGACAACCTTTCAACCAAACGTGGGCTGGGGGTGACCTACCCACAAGCGACGGTCCAACCTTAGGTTTGCGGATTTTTCCGCAACCTCGCCAACGACGACTAATAACAACGTCGAACGCGGGTTTGGGGGCGCAATCAAGCGACGCTCTTCCTTCCTTACCTTAGCGTGGCGTCGTCGGACTTGTCCGCGACCATCTCCTTCATCTTCCCGGCCACAGCGTACAGGAGTCCCAGCCCTTCGGTCGAGAACTGCGACACCGAGACCACGCTCTTGCCCTCCCACGACGCCTTGTCGGCGGTGAAGGTGGCCTGGTGTCTCGCGCGCGGACGTTGATCGTCGTTCGTTTGGTGTTTGCGTGTGTTTCATCAGACTACAGATTGCACGCCGCGGGTGGGGAGCAGGGAGGACTCGGTTTCTGGGAGATGGTTATCTGCTGCTTCGGAAGAAAGTAACGCGGAGAGTTGGCCTGAACGGGTTACTTCGTGCCTGCTGTGCGCATTGCGTTTGTCGGCGCGTGTGTGCCGTGCCGTGAAAAGGGGCGGAAGGTATAGATGGGGTATGTAGCGTGCTGGGCAACGTTTGGCAAGCGCGTTTGGTACTCTCAACATGTCAACGAAACCCACCACGCTACATGTACATGCGCTTGCAAAGCATGTTACATGTACTGCTGTCGCGTGTGTACATGGATTTCCCATTTCGGTGACAAGTCGGCCACGAAATAACCCCCGCCGGAATACAGCAGTACCCAGGATCCGTTAGCCCCCCCCCCACCCCATTACTAACGCAAACTTATGTACACAGCGATCCGTACCCCAAAAGGTGATCCACAGAATGGCTATTGGACAACGTCGTGTACCCCAACACTACCTTATGTCTCCCCGATAATAGTACCGCTGTATGCAAACAAATAGGAGCAGCACACATGGCGCCAGCGCGGACCAACCTCTTGTTGCTCGTGGCGGACCGCGGACCGCAAGTCGGCACATGTTACATACTCCATCGTATGCATCACGTGGGAGGAGCTCGCATAGCACGTGTAGGAAAGGATTCGCTACAGCAGCTCATTCTTGGCGATATCTGACCAGCAGCGCGACATTTCCACTCTGGACATCCCCCCGTAGCCTCACAGCCTCACCGTAAATGTACCTCCTGTCATTCTCGGTGTCTCTTCTGTACAGCAGTATGCTAAGAAAGTTTGATTTTTCAAACTGTGGACAGCTGTTGCTGAAAAGGGTGCTGTTCCTGATGGATCATGACCTCGTCGATGGCACTTATTGCTACCACAGGAGTTCGTTGCAGTTCAACCAATTAAGAAAACCCATGATCAGAGGGCTGGGGTGCGGCCGGGCCATGCCATGGGACAGGAGAGCGGCTGGCTGGATTGCAACGTAGGCTTCCTGTGCCACGTTTGCTCACAGCAGGTACAGCAGTACACAAGGTACAAACTCACCATGTTTTCCTCTGCTCGTTTAGCTCGATCCTTGGCAACCAAGTCCGACACCGGCGGTGCATCATAGAACCCAATTTCAGCAGGCATGGTAGTGCGTGGTCCTCCGGGTAGCTCTATGCAGCATGCACTCTGTGCTGGCAGGTGGTGCGTGTGCTGCAGGCCGGCGGCTGGCTGGCTCGCTTTCATTGTCAAGGGGATGTCGCAGACTGCAACACAATATATACCATTTGGCGTACCCCCTTCTCGGCCCCCTCTGCCCTCTGCTGTTGAGCACAGTGAGTGCCCTCTGCTCTCAGACACTCTCCTTTGCTGCCACGGCCTACGCAGCATCACCATGTACGGCCGGAAAGGAATTCCGACAGAGGTGGGTTGACGCACAGAGATTCCGTGTGTGCGATGCTCGTTCCCACCAACCCCATCGTTGCGCAAAATACTCTGTACATTGTAGCGCAATGATCAGCGGCAGGCGGCTTCTCCAAAATACTGTACACCCCCCTTCCGTCATGAGGTGCAAGTTGCTGCTCTCTGTGCTGCTGCTGTCGCGATGTGTAGTGGGCTGAGGGTACCATGTACTCGGCTTGCGAGTGTTAGCCGTGAGCAGGGTGACGGTCGTCCGCGTTCGGCTGACTGACCCAGGCACTTATTGGGATAGGATGTGCTGCTGGTGCCTTGTCTGCGGAGTTCTTCCGGTACCGCGGCAGCAACCCCGCTTGTACATGCTGTAGTTCAACCTATGCTGGCTGCTGCTGCTGTTGGTTGTCGTGTTGTTGTGTGTTGTCGTGACATTAATTACGTAAAGACGCTGCCTTCAACTTCTGACATCCGTATTGGCCCAACTGACGAGGACAACTTCTGAAAAAGGTAGACTTCAGCAGTACACCCTTCACAGCACAGCAGTCCATATCAGAGAAAAGGTACAGCAGAGTGAAAACAACAGGCAACGAAGACTCGCTATTTAGCGACCAGGTCCAGCAATCAGGCCGTGGGTCTGAACGTCTTTAACCCCTTTACAATAAGACGCACATAATTTCCTGAAAATGGACGGATTGGATGATGCGAACAGTCCCAGCCCTGGGTGCAAGGGCAAAGCTACTCCCCATCTCTGGGTCGTCTCTTTCCCACAAGCCCTACAGCAGTTGGCTGTCAAATGGCCTCTCGATAATCGAGGGGGCCGTTTGATAGTGATCAGTCTGAGTCCGCTATCCTGACCCCGAGTTCAGCTTGCTGGAACACAACGTAAAAGAAAAAGCAGCACAATATTGTACGCAGGTTTTCCAAGTTAGCAAGCATACCGGATGAAGTATAGAATCGCCTAAGTTGGGGTTGGTGTTTTAGGGTTACGGTCTTGGCGTCATTTCAACCAACCAAGGCGAGAGTTCCGTGGATCATGCTGTTCTAGCTCGGGGTCGGGGTGTGAACAAGAAAATGGCAAAGGCCCAGCCTCGGTCAGACTCGCAGCACGCAGGTGACATGCCGGATGGACAAGGGAAATCGATCGAGAATTGGCGATCGATGCACAGAGCCTACACCTGCTCCCACTGGACACCCACGAGGCCAGCCACAAAAACAAAACAAATCAAGGATGTGTTGGAAGTCTCTGCAGTGAGTGGGAGAAGAGCCGGCGGGATGCTGGGCTTATTGTTTGAGTCTATTTTAAGCCCATACATGGACCTATTATCTGTGACGCCAGCTGGTGCTAATCTTTCGTTTCTTATTGCGCGCGTTTCTCTTTTGTCAAACAAGGTCACGTTGAACGTGTACGACCTGAGCCCCGTCAACGAGTTCGGGCACCCGATCGGGCTGGGGGTGTTCCACAGCGGGCTGGAGGTAGACGGACGCGAGTACACCTTCGCGGGAGGGGGCGGGATCTTCGACCATGAGCCCAGAAAAGGTGCGTGGCAGCATACGAACGAAGAGGCACCTATATATTTAGGAAGAAAGTGCTTGATAAGAACGAGACGGCGCACGGTATGGTCCGTGTGTACCAAGCTTTGTTCCCTCTCGCTTGTTCTGCTGCCTCTCTGCCTCTCTGCCTCAATAAGGGCATGCCTGACATCCATCCACCCCCTCCATATATATATGCCTCTCTAGGCTAGACGAAACAACGACCCCCCCCCCCCGGGAACGATTGACCATCGGTGATCGGTCAACGAACAATTGTCCGTCCTCCTCTCGAAGACGCGTGGTTAATGGTCTAACAACTAAACACCCCCCCCCCCCCCCCCCCCTTT